TAAGACCCACCCTATTAACCCCACTATAACTTAATTATCTTTGTACATATCCTTTCTCCAAATAAGGTTCCATTCTAAGGTACAGGAAGTTAGGACTTCAATGTATGCAATTGAGGGGCAGAGCATAATTCAACCCATATCAGTAACCTAACCCTGAATTAYTTTTTTACTAGATGAACCAAACCCATTTGTATGCACTGATGTGACTGATAACGTGTTTTTTTTATAGTTCTCTACTTTCATTATGTTCTGATTTCTATTTTCACAATTTTTTWAAAAATATTTTACTACGTAGTTTGCTTTATTTTTCTTTCCTTTGATGTGCAATTTTTGTTTTGGTGGCTAACTGTATAATTACATGTCTCTTTATTTCTTTCCATCTTTAATAAATCCATGTGAGCAATAACTAAAACCAGCATTATTTCTTCTTCCCTTTCTCCTCCAATATCCAATACTAGTCAATAGTATTATCTTTCTTAGAGTTTACTCTTGTGCTACTAAACATATTTATACTTCTATTTGATTTGGGAGCTTTGACTGATAAGCCTACTCCCACATGAGAGATTATGCAACCAGTGAATTCACTCAGCTTCACCTGCCTTCCCTCTCCCCTCGATAGTCACTTGTATCATGTCTACGTTGTGAGGACATATAATGTTAACCTTCTGTTCTGTCACCAACACTTACATTTTTTTAAATATTTTTTAGTTGTCATTGGACCTTTATTTTATTTATTTATATGTGATGCTGAGAATCAACCCCAGTGCCTYACACACACTAGGCAAGTGCTCTACACTGAGCTACAATCCCAGCTCCCTTCATATTTCTTTCTCTCTTAGTTTTATATKTTAAATATATTCAAAACTCACAAGCCTTCCCAGTGATCTTTTGGTCAGATAAAATTAATTATTTAATAGTCTCCTTAAGGGCTGGGATAAGGAATTTGCCTACAGTTTTTAAACACAGTCTAAACATGGCACAAGTGGATTATGATATGATCTCACTAAATCATGAAACCTGGCTTTATAGTTGACATATATTCTTACCCCCATAGCCTTAGAACAAATTTGATTAGAAAAGTGAGGTCATTAATTTAGTAGATTTGTGCAAACAATATGTTCAAACCCCCAAATGTTAAAAACATACATACACAGACAACTCTGGGTACCACAGCTAAAAGCACAYGCTCAACATATTCTCAAAAGAGAAGTAATCATTCTGTTTATTCGAATGAAACTGACAACCACAGCTGTGGTCCTTTGGTGCTATCCCAAGGCTAGAGATTCAAAAATCTCTCTAAATATAACAGAGCAACCTGCATTTTCACTCCTCAGGCGATTCTATGCAAATGAGAGTGWAAAAACATTGCCCCAGACAGATGCTATGTCATGTAATGAATGACTTACCTRCATTATTTTATTTAGTCATCATGAAAGCCTGGGGGGGGGTAAGTTATTCAAAGATTTTTATCAATGAGATATCTGCAACCTAGAGAGATTGAGAAACATGCAGATAGCCACAACACTAGGAAGCAGGAGCTGATATTCCAATATACAAACCCAGTTCTGACTGACTCAAACATCAAAGCTGCTAACTATTTCATAAGAGGGCCAGGATCTCTAAGATGTTTAGAAAACCTTAGATTTAGGGGTTAGAGAGGAGGAGAAAGACATAGACAATAAGACTGACTGATTTTATCTCAAAAGGAGGCTCRGTGATAGAAAACTTGTTTACTGTGAATGCGACCTGGGTTGGATTCCCAGCACCAAAAAAGAGAGAGAGAGAGACAGACAGACTAGCTGCAGGAAGATGTAAGAGCTTCAAATTTATCAGGTAACGTCACAGATTAGAGCTATGTAGACCAGTACAATTCCACAGGGCATGCCCCACATTCAGAAGGGCTCAACTTGTGGTTTAACAAGTGGATGCCATGTTGAAATTCTTCATAATTCTTCATAATTTTATCATGGGATCTCTATTTTGCAAGGGAAGTCTACTGGAGTAATGGAGTATGTGCCAGGTGTTTGGAGTCTTAGCTTCTATACAGCTACCCTACCCCCCAGATGGACTCCTGGTCATTCCCTTCCCCATCTCCTCACTCCCACCACCTCCCCACCCCTACCTCTGGGAGGACAGCTCCCCAGCAGAGGCCTGAGTGAAGGCAAGGGGAGGAGAGGGAGCATGGAAGGAGGGGCAAGGAACAGCCACCTCAGTAGGGGTGAGCCTCTTACTCAGCCCTAACCTGAGCACGGAGATTGCAATGCTCGTCGAGGTCACATGTCCACTGTGTGTTGGGACAGTGGGTCCATGGACAGTGTGGAGGCCTGCCTCAACCTCCCCACTCCTATGGCCACAGATCAGTAAGTTGCAAGTGCCTAGAGAAAAGGGAAACCCAACAGCTGTGACCAGAAAGCACACGAGGTCACAGAGTGGGGCCTCTGGGCACCTGGGAGGAACTGTACTTGCCACTCTTGACTAGGCAGCATGACATTACACAGCAAACAAAAGTACCTCAATAGACTGAATGAGAAATTGTGAAAAAAGGAAAACAAGTTTCTATTTTTATACCTTTAATGGTACTTTTCTGTGCTTTTTGAACAAGGAGTCCCACATTTTCATTCCACACTGTTCCCCCAAATCTGTGTGACCCTTCCTGGACATAGGAGACTTCAGGGTTTTTGGGGGGGATTATATGCCTACAAACTTGGGGGAAGATAACCCTGCCYTTCTACCAAAGGTCACTTGGCACCATGGTCACAGTCAGGCCGTTGGATAATCATTCAAACTCGCAGATAATTTGCCAGAATTCTCCAAGTTGTGCTCTTCGTACAGCAGTCAGCCAACCTGTTTTTATTTTTATTATTATTTTTTTTTACCTTCTTATTTATTTATTTTTATATGATGCTGGGGATAGAACCCAGAGCCTCACATGTGCTAGGCAAGCRCTCTACCACTGAGCTACACCCACAGCCCAGACAACCTGTTTTAATATCACAGATCAGACCAAAGAACCACAAAGAATGCAAGGAAAAACAGCTCACACTTTCGCTGCATTTATATTTAAAACACAAGGCCTCTGTTTTAATCATGTAAAAAYTTCCAGAGGCATCACCTTGGAAACAAGAGACTACGATCATTAAAATGAACTAGAAGCAAATAAGCTCCAGTGAAGTAAACCTAGCTGCAAAAYCTTTCTAGTACCTTTACAGGGGAAATTTCTCCAGTAACCATGATAAGCATAAGGCAAGTGAGAWAGAATGTCCACTGCAGGACATCTAAAGGATGTCCTGCACAAACTTTGTATAAAAAACTAATTTTATTATTCATTTAGAATACTGCATACCTAATGCATTTACAGGGAAATACCTATGAGCTGTAACAGCAATAAAAAATGCACCTGGGGGCTGGGGTCTATATCAGGAGACAACACATGCTGAGTGTGCATGAGGCCCTAGGTTCAATTCTCAACACCAAAAAAGAAAACCCGAATAATTCCCTGCACATCTGTTTGGTACAAAGAGAGAAAATGTCTTGCTGCAGTAAATCAATACACTAAATGAAAACATGAGGTATTTTTTTTCTAAATATTTTCTTCCTTTAAATACCATAGAATATGTATCCCTTGAGATTGGAACATGGAAATCTAAAATTATCCCTCAAAGCTACCAAGAGCTTTTTCTGAAGCTCCATTCATTATTTTTTTTCTTCCTTGCAGAGATGTAAAAAAAAAAAAAAAAAAAAAAATAGAGGTGCTTTTATACTTTTCCCAAGAAAAAATACAATTGTTTACAAGATAGAGAGGAAACCCTTAGAGAATTTTGGTAGGAATGAAGACGATAAACAAGAGTCAATACTTGAATTAAGAGTTGTAAAATAAATCGGGCTTGGTGGCACATCCCAACAGCTGGGGAGGTTGAAACAGGAGGATCACAAGTTCAAAACCAGCCTCAGCAATGGAGAGGCACTAAACAACTCAGGAGACCCTGTCTCTAAGTAAAATACAAAATAGGGCTGGGGATGTGGCTCAGTGGTTGAGTGTCCCTGAGTTCAATCCCCCTCCTCCAAAAAATAGAGTTMTAAGTTAAGAAACAGACACTACTAATGGTTAGCCTCACAAAAACCCAAAAAGGAGAATTTTTCTTAACACTATCAGATGACATCTTAGAAGCCTGGATAATGAAGCTTTGCAGAAAAATGAAAAAGGGGAAATGAATCATCTAATATCCAAACACAGAATTCTTCTCAAAGAATGTCATGCTTCTGCTCTTGTTCAGGCAGGAGCAAGAGAAGACTTGGGCAAGATCTGCAGAGAGAGAGTAGATACATGGCTGCAGTGACTGCTTTACTTGCTTCCCTCTCTGGGCTGATGGTTTCTGGTTCTCCCTTCTCCTCTCCCCTCTGTTCTTCAAGATGGGGTGGGGAGCTGGAGAGGCAGTCTCTCCTCTGCCCTCCCCTGCTTTCCTCTCCCTACTCCAAAGTGGAAGGCTGGAACCCCTACCTGATTGGGCATCTGGTCTCTTCTATTTCTCTATATCTTCATTTCTAACTCTCTTGACTTTTCACCTTGCAATTCTTTTCTTCTTTAATCATGCATTCATCTAATTATTACAGCTCCCAGAATACACAGACTTTTTAAGCAAACAGGTTCTGTTTCTTCATGGGCATAAATCCTTATTCTTTACCTTTGCGGAGTCCCACCCAGGCCTTATCTGTATTGCATTATGTCTCCTGAAACCGAAAGAGGCACAGACTTGGACGGGGTGTTATCTAATCAAGACTGTTTGTCACAGACAACTTGGGAGTTAACAAGCTGCTCTAGAACATACTCGCCTTCTTTCAGTGGCTACTGTTTGGGTTCATTCACAATATCTGTGTTCTCTCTGAGAAACCACCTTCAGGTACCAGGCAAAAAAGCTGAKTCTCAAAATCCAGAGAGCAGAGTCTGACTGCAGCCTGAGAAGGTGGTGGTGGCAATCACACCTCAAAAGGAACATTCATACCTTTGTAATCGCAGTGAAGACTTTTTCCAGAATGGCATTGGGCTGGGCAATTTGTGGTCCATTGGCCTGAATGTTGAGGGCGATGGCACATGGTTTGGCTACAAATCTGAAAATGAAGAGAGAAAGTCAGAAGTTATTCTTCCTATGGCAGTTCTTAATGCCACCAGTTAAACATTACTCAATCATGTCAATAAACTGCGGGCAGGATTTTATGGGGGTACATTTTCAGCATTTACCAGGGTAACTATAATATAGACTTAACTGTTTTTCTTTTCTTTAGTCCCCCAACAGTAACTCTAAAGAAGAAATCTTTTTAAAACATTTAGGCTAGGTGTGGTCGCGCATACCTGGTCCCAGCTACTCAGGAGGCTGAGGCAAGAGGATCACTTGAGCTTCTGAACTCAAGACCAGCCTGGGCGACCCCATCTCCAAAAGAAAACTAAATAAACAGAACATTTAACACCCACCCACCCCCRCCCATTTTCCAGTTCTAATGAGAATCAACAGATCAAAAGACTACCAGATAAAAATTTAAGTACATAAATGAAACATAAACAAAACAAACTATGATTTTTAAATGACTCACAGCCTTCTTTCTAACACGTTATCAATAGTCCTCTTCTATTTTTATTATAAGAAATCATTTACCAAGCACCTGACTACACCTGCAGAAAGAGCACTTTTGATCACCCCTCGTCATAAACGTGGCCATTTGTGTCACTATAATCAAAGTGTGCTGTATTCAACCCCCGTCTCAGCTTTATGGTTATTTATGGCTTTCTCACAAGGGGTAGTGAAGGACATCAGATGGCACGATGCCCTTGACAAGTTGAAAGTGTGAAGTGTTTATGCCTTTTCATCCTAAGCACATGCTCATGTCAACAAGAGTGTGAGCCTCGTTTCTGGCCATTTTTGTGAATGAAGCATGGAAGGAAACTGGGTGAAAAGTGCCTGGGGCCCCTGAGATATGATGACATCTCTGACAAAACCATGGAGAGGAAAAAGCATTTACAGCTTGAGAGTCGTTTTAGACTAAACTTCATGAAATAAGCTTCCCTAAATACTCATTTCAGTAGCTGACCTGGACATTTTCTACTAACATAAACTAATTTAAGGTTATATAAAAGGTGACCCGGCTGTAAAGCAACAACGGATAAATGTACAAAATGGATCATGAGTAAATTTTACATGAGACTTCTTTATTAGTACTCAAAGAGATTAAAGAATGTTAGACAAAAGAGAATTTTTTAATTTAATGGTATAATGAGGCYGCAATACACAGAACGATATAATATACTGGGTCCTATTCAAGCAAAGTGAAAATACTTATTTAAATATGAAAATAAGAACATTATGAATGTGTGAGCTTAAACCAGGAAAGGTATACACAGAAAATGCAATGTAATACCTGTTTACTGGGTTATCTACAACAAAGGTGGGAAGAATTTATAAATCTTTTAGAAACTGGATTATTCTTAAAATGAGGTATTCTTAATCCTTTTTAATGAAAGTCTTTTTCTGGGACACATTATCTATATCCCTATCTTCCTGATAGGAAGTACATTCTTTTCCCAATGGCCCCAAATTTTCACTATGAACAATAATCAGGGAGCGGAGGTGGTAGCTACAGTGGCAATGGAAATGAAATTTAATGGGTAGTGAGCATAGCAGAGCCCAGAAACTGTTGCCTTAACAAACTTCCTGCTGTCTGGTTATTTGCCTTCTCATCATAATGTAAAATGAGAGGTGTGAAAAGATTTGAAGGCCAGCAAAAAATGAAAAAATGATGTAATGACTAGTTTGGTTAAAAAAAAAAAAAGCCAAAAATCAACTCTTCCAATGGTTTGCTTCTACCCATACAAGGTGGCTTCTTCTAAATCCTCCTCGTCATCCCGTGCCCTCGTCTTTGACATTGTGTTCAAATTCCCTCTGGGGCTTTGTCATCTGCATCCTTCTGATAACCTGCTGATTTTGATCCTARGCAAATGTCTATGTCAGCAAGAACAGGGACAGGGTCCTCTTTCTTCTTCTAAAAATCAAAGTGTCTAACAATGATTGAACATTTCATCTTTTTAAACCCCAGGCAGAGCAGGGCACACTTTTTTTTCCAGAAAGGTCAATGCCGTGATCAGCTCTCCATTCTGATTTACTGGTGAGGCTGAATCCCAAATTATGAAGATTTTGGGAAAAGGGGTCTGTATGTGTCAGGAGAGATGAACAAGTTCAAAAGAATAGAACTCAAGGCAAAGTTTGAAGACCTTTAAAGTTTAAATGGACCCTGGTGCATATGCACAATAAATCAAACCATCTGAATTCTTTGCAAGAAGTTACCATATCATAGGACGTTTCTATTTACAAGTCTGTAACACTGCAGACATTTGATAATACTTGAAGGATGAATAAGTGAACATTTCAGCTAAAATACAACCATAGGTAGGTACCTTACAACTTTCCCAAAGGAACCATGTGTTTTAACTCCCTTGAATATCACATCTGCTCAGTGTCATCTGGACTTCAGAAAGTAAGACACCAACTATTTCAATACCAGATGCCATTTCTATAATCCCCAAGTTCCTGTAATGTCCAAGAGTACCTGTGCAGGCACAGCCATGCCTCACTAGGTACTCTTTCCAAATTATCCAGTACAGAAAGCCAAATACTCAGTTTCTAGGTCTTAGAAATCTGCATACCATGGGCAGAAAAAGTTGATCTCAAATCCCCAATGAGAGAAAAAAGAAAGGAAGGGTATATAACTCTTCCTATTAGGTATGCTTGATTATATGAAAATATAGATGTTTTATGTGTGTTTACTTATCAAATAATTTAATGCGTCTCTAGCATTATTTTTCCCCTCAAACAGCATATTAGATTTCAAATAAAATCAAGTGCAATGGTACATGCCTATCATCCCAGCAACTAGGGAGGCTGAGGCAGGATGATGGCAAGTTCAAGGCCAGCCTCAGCATCTTAGTGAGATCCTGTCTCAAAATAAAAAGGGCTGGGGGTTGGTTCAGTAATAGAGGGCCTCTGGGTTCAATTCCCAGTACTGGAAGAAAAAGAAAAGATTCAAGTAAAACCTATGTTGTGACAGAATGTTATCACATTCTGTCATGGTCCATTTGAGAAAGATGGATTTTTTTTTTTATGTTGGCCCTACTAGAAATAAGTTCACAAAAATTGTCTGTCAGAATGGTTGGAAAGAATTCTACTGTCATGTATATCTAATTAGAACAATTTTTTAAAAATTAAAGGAAAAACAGAATGGTTGGAGAGAGAAAGAGACAGAGATGGAGAAAGAGACAGAGATGGAGAAACAGACGGGTGATGAACCTACCTACACATACCAAGTTGTAAAGAGTGTGCACTTTGAAGCTTTGATGATTACCTCCACCAGGAAGTGCCCACTTAATTACGTTTTTTATCAAAGGCAGCAACACTACCTTCAAAAGATCAAACATCTGTAAAGTACTTTCATGTGCTACATTTGAAAGTAAATATAATAAGGATACAAACTTTGAAAAATACTGGTCTTGGTTAAAAAGCAGAGAAAACATCTAAAACATTCCTACTTTCCAATTCTACTGAACAATGTGTATTTGTATTTTATATATGAATTGAAGGTCTCTGCACAACATACTGAAGCAAGCCCCAGGCAGTGCTCTGGGGAGAGGAATACACAAAACATGAAGTGACCTCAACATTCAAAGACATTTGCAACCTGGGCAAGGAGATTAAAATAATAATATTACTATTATTACTATTATTATTATTATTATTATTATTAATGGGGTATGTGTTATTGTTCTAATCACTTAAAAAAAACAGTCTATCATTTTCAGTAGGTAACATGGCTGGAAATTGTTAGTCCTTTCCAACTGTAACATTTCCTGCACTTTTCAGATGGTTGGCACGATGATGTGGACATAAAATCCTATACATGACAAAATTGTACAGTGGTAAATCAATGGCTCTCTCCCCTTCTCTCTCTCTCTCTCTCTCTCTCTCTCACACACACACACACACACACACACACACACACAAATAAATACAAGAAACAACTGCAGAAATCCGAATACTGTAAGTAAATTGTATCAGTGTCACTATCCTGGTTGTGACATCAAACTAAAGTTTTGTAAAATGTTATCATCAGGAGTCACTGGGTGAAGTGAATGTGAGATCTCCCTATGTCAGTTCTTACCACAGTATGTGCATTTGCGATTATCTCAATAAAGATTTCAATGAAAAAAAATCCCTGGAAGGGAAGTTCTGTTGTTGTTGAAAACTCCTCACAAACTCTACTCAAACTGCACAATACAACTACTTCATCCCTCACTTGCACCCCCCCCACACACACACAAAAGAAAGCCACAAAACATTCACTACTCAAGGGCTCTGGAGACTGAATAAAAGCAAAGAGACTAGAAAGGAGGCGGGAGTCAAGAATGGAGCCAGCAACCAGCAAAGAAAGTACTCCCTGCCTGCTCACTCATGGATTTATTCTGCAGCTCTACCCTGAGATCAGACAGTCACAGTGGCAGGTACAGCTTTGATAGAAGAACACACTTTCTTTCTAGCTGTAGGACCCAGGGAAGGAGGCTGGGGGAAGCGGAAAGGGATCAGAGAACCACAGAAAGAAAAGGCCAGAGAAGCAAACCCTAGGTCTGGGTGGGTATAGACCAGGCATGACTCTGGCTGACTTCTGAGCCATGAATGTACAAGGAAACCAATGGCAACCAATAGCTAAGGTTTCAAGAACTGATCTCAGACTTGAAGCCACTGCAGGCAGGACAGGCTGCAGTCTAAGTAAATTGCGTCTCAATAGAAACATCAATGCTTTCCAAAACAATGGAAAGAATCCAAATTGTCCACAATATAACTTTTGCCATGTCCAGGACACAATCAGGTATGCTGATAAAGAGCCAAGAAAAGACAATCCACTCTTAGGGGACTAACCATGCAAAAGAAAAATTCAGTGAACCGGAACCACACAATCTGAAAAAGAAGAAAGAGAAAAATGGAAAAACAAACAAACATACTTTGAGGACCTGTGGAACTACTTTGAAAGGTTAGCATAGGGGTAGCTGGAGTCCCAGGAATAAAACGTAA